GTGCTGGGAATCAAGAAGAGGTGACCAGATATTGAAAAGGCACAGCACAACAGAGGTGACACACAGAAAAGCTGAAAACAGTCCCGCTCCAACCTGGGCAGAAGGTGAAGCCACAACCACAAGGCCTATTGTTGGAGACCAGCTACTGCAGGTACCTGAACACAAGGCAGCAATCTCAAGTCAGGGAGGGAGCCCGCCACAGCATGTGGACAGGGAAGTACCAAAAGAAGCAGTAATGGATATTTAAGCAGCAGAGATCTCAGGCTATGGAGGATGAGGTGATGGTGGCCCTTCCCTCTGTGATGAGAAGCAAAACCCATGGCTAGGCAATCACAGTGGAGATGGAGAGCTCTGTGCTTGCTCTGGGCTTGGCCTCTAGAATTGCCTTGTAATGGTTTGCTGCCAGGTGGAAGGGGCAGTGTGGAGGCCATATCTGATAGACTCCTCAGTTACACAGCTTCTTTCTCCTGCACAGTGGCTGAAACCAGTGAGGGGGGCAGGCAGAGCTCAGCCCCCTCAGTTCTCTTCCTATAGTGCAGAATCTGTGCTATTTACCAACTCTCTTGACACACTCCCCGTGGCTCAGGTGGGTTGTGCGCCACCCCCAGGTATGCAAACTGGAGGTCCCGTGGGCCTGCGGGTGGGGGGGCAGTGTACCAAGGTTAGTATCTACAGCAGACAGAGCAGTGATGCTGACAGCATCCCCTTAACGGCGCAGCCCTCAGACCACACAGCACCAACTTCCACCTACAGTGAGAAAACAACAGACTGCAGCAACAACCCAATCTGTCCCTGCCCCTGGTCATGGCTTATTACAGGGTTAGAGGATTCAGGCAGATCTAGAGAGACTCCAAAAACAGAGAGAGAGAAGCAGAAGGTAGCTGGCAGAGAGAACTCAGTTTCTTCAAAGAACTAACACTGCTTACCAACCACACTCCAGAAAAAGTCTTTAATTACTGTTCTTCTTTTTGCTACAATTTTAGTGTTTAAATTTTTGTTTGTATATTGTTTTTATTTTTTTGAGAATTTCATCGATTTTTATCATATTCGTTTCCATTCCTCATTTTTCCACTCACCCAACTTCATGTTCTTGCTCTCCTAAGAACAAAACATGGAGAACGATTCGTGCGGTCAACTACTCCTGAACCTGGGGCTGCCCTGGAGTGTGGCTGATAAGCAGGTACGTCTTTTGAAGGGAACGGAGTTCTCTCTCCCAGCTACACTTACTTCTCTACGATAGTGCATTTGAAATCTCTCACCATTCTCTTCTGCTTCCTCAACTGTGTTTCTTTTCCCTTTTCTTCCTTTACTTAATTGTATTGCTTTCTCCTCCTTTGATGGATTTTACTTTTATAACAAATTTTTAATAGCAGAGCTTATTTTGCATTTTCTTTCCTATGGTTATGGGTGCAGCGACAGTTGCCTTTAATTTATTTTTGTAGTATTTCTCTATGGGGTTTCTTTTTGTTGTCACTGTGACAGTAGTGATCTCTCCTTTCTGAGGAGTACTGTGGTAGAGCCCTTCTGAGAGCCGTATGCCTCAGTTACTCTTCCTTTGCGATAATGAGATGCCATGGCCAATGCCACCACAAAAGAAAGCATTGAATTAGGGGCTTGCTTATAGTTTCAGAGTGAGTAATGACTAACTGTAAATAGTCTTAACATTCCAATTAAAAGACAAAGACTGCTAACTGATGTCCACTAAAAACTCAGCCCACTGGCAAAGAGACTCAGATGAAAGTGAAATGAGAGAACTATCTGGGGCAAATGAAAACTAAAAGTAATCACAGGTAACTACACTGCTATCCAACAAGGCAGATTGCAAACCAAGTCAGAAGAGCTAAAGGTCACTCTGTACTAATAAAATACTCCACTAAGAAGACACAATGACGGTGAATATATATGCACTGAGCATTAGCATACCAAATTTTATTAAACAAACATCACTGGACACAGAAGGACATACAGGTAATAATATACAGTAATGGAGGTGACTTCAAAACCCCACTCTCCTCAAAGACTGAAAAAACAACAAATTTCAGTTAAACTATACCACATATCAAAAATGAAACAGATTACCTATGGAATACCCCACCCAACAGCTGAAGCAGACACATTCTTCACAGTAGTCTCTGGTCTTTCTCCAAAATAGATCCTATCTTAGGCCATAAAAAAAATCTTAAAATATAAAAGGATTGAAATAATTTGTCAGATCATAGGGTACTAAGAATAAAAATCAGTAACAAAAGTTACTGATAACAAACATCCTGAGAAATGAACACTAAAATGTCTGAATAAGTATGGCAATGACAAAAATCAAGAGGGAAATTTAGAATGTCCTAAAAAGGTGGGGGCTACAGAGAAACCTTGTCTCAAAGAACCAAAAGTAATACATAAATGAGAACTGGCAGGAGGGAGCTAGGGTCAGGATAATCAAGGTACATTGGTTCGTGTATGAAATGTCGTCATGAGGCCAGGTGTGGTGGTGCACGCTTTTAGTCCCAGCAGAAGCAGGTGGATCTCTGAGTTCAAGGCCAGCATGGTCTGCAGAGCAAGTTCCAGGACAGCCAGGGCTGTTACACAGAGAAACCCTAGCTTGAAAAAATACAAAAAAAAAAAAAAAAAAAAGAAATCGTAAAACACATTATGAGGTGCGTGAAAATGTTTTTTTTTTTAAAACACACACAGACACACACACTCCTAAATGCAAGCCTCAGCACTTGGAGTGGAAAGTAAGACTGACTCCCCAGACTGTCCTCATATACATGGCACTTGCCACTCCATGCAAACTCTCCCCAACTAAATAGAAAAAAAAAGGAAGAAACCCATTATTTTGTACAATTAATAGTTAAATTTTAGCTTAAATTTAGGAACTTCCTCAGTCATTGATTTCTCTTGCAATAGTAGCTACAAATTAAAAGAAAAACATATTTCAAATATAATTTCAGGTAAAGCACATCCTAAATACTGTAAGGTCTGGTCTTTTTTCCACTTACTCTGGTGTAATTCAAAGTAATATGATTTCAACAGTAGAGAGGTGAACAAAGGAACTTTTCCTCTTACAAACTTTCAGTAGTCACTCTAAACAATAAGATCTCTATGGGAGTACTAGATGTTAGCACTATCAATGAAATGATGCCTATTTCCTGATTAGTGTATTCTTTAACAGAGAAAGCAGCTGAGCAGTATTATATGCCAGAATGTGCGAGACCTTTATATACATTAATTCATTCAGCCATTAATGGTTTACAACATCACTGAAATTATCCTCAATTTATACACAAGAAACTTACCAAGTAAAGAGTTAAAAGCTCAGAACAAGTTACATTAAGTTAGCAAAGAAGCCACTTGATGCCCAAGCAGTGTAAAACACTTGTCCATACTCTCAATAGAGAATACATACCTTTGCTTATAAGCATGAACAAACATCGGTTGGGCTCTCATAACTTGTTCTTTCTGTTAGAAGTCATAAAAATCAGCATAGTGCAGGTGGTGGCACCTGCCTTTAATCCCAGCACACGGGAGACAGAAGCAGACATATCTCTGTGAACTAGTATACCACGAACTCAGCCTTCGTATGTGCCTATACAGAGCAACTTCCTAACTGTTTCTAAGTACTACCCATACATTCTGAGTGCCTTGGAGACGGAAGATATTTTGCTGGAAGGACCATATATGCAACTAGACAAAAAGACAGAAAAGGAATAATTTTAAATAAAACAAAAGAAAAACCAAACACTTCTCTGAAATAACCTGTATTTAAGAGACAGTGTAAATCACTGCTTAGTATATTTTGTAAATGTAACCAAATTAGTCTCCACATCTGATGGCTTCTGGTGCAGGAGGAAAGGACTCAGCCTTTTTTTTTTTTTTTTTTTTTTTTTGGTTTTACGAGACAGGGTTTCTCTGTATTGTTTCGGAGGCTATCAGTCCAGCCCGGCCTCGAACTCACAGCGATTCGCCTGCCTCTGCCTCCCGAGTGCTGGGATTAAAGGTGCGCCACCACCGCCCGGCTACTCAGCCCTTTTTAACTATTTAAGAGCAGGCTGCTAAGAGTTTGAGCATGATCCAGTGAGTATATAGATAATACAAACTGGTCTTGTTTTCTTTTTCTTTATGTTTCTAGTTTTCCTCTTTTTATTTATATTTCAAGGGGGTCACGAAGGTAGGGACAGACATGGAAAGACTGGGAAGTGAGTATGATGTGAAATTCCCAAAGAATTGATAAAAGTATTGCATTAATTAAAAAAGACAGATTTAATCACCTCTAAACTTCAACAGTAAAAAATGAAAGTGGAACTAATTTTAACACTGAAAATTAAGTAATACTATATATTTACATATTTTAAAGGACATATCACAGCTACTATGAGACTAAACTTTAATTCCCAGGCCAGACCAAATTCCAGCCTGAGAAGGGAAGCAGGCATGAAGTCCCACCCCAGACAAGGTGTATGTGGCAACCGAAGGCTGCTGGGAGAGGACTCGGGTTTCTCTAAGGGTGCCACCCCTAGAACAGCATGCCCCAGTGAACTCGTACACAGCCAAGAATATATGGGCAGCCACACTGGACCCGATCAGTCAAAAGAAGGAAAACGGAGAGGACACGGCCCAGATGGGTAAAGAGGAGACACGAGTCTGGAAGGAACTGGGGAGGGGGTTACGTTTGATCAAAACATGTTCTATGAAACTCTTCAAAAAAACACGAGTCACATTTTTCAATTATGAACAAACAATACTATATATTTTCTTCTATATGTTTTTAAAGTATGTCTCACAAAAACTATCTGTAATATACTTATATAGGTTTCAATGAGAATGTATTTAGAATATGTGGCAAAACAAACATGGTTTTCTCAAAAGGAGGGAAAAAAGAAAACCGAATAGACAACGTTCTACCCTCTGTCTCTGAGACACATCTGAACTGAAAAACGATACACGTTATTTGGTCACTATAGTTTACAACAAAACAGTGATTTGTTATTTTTTTCTAAACTAACCCTTTCTTAAAGCAGGTAGGATTCAAACTCTGCTGGGTGGTGGCCAACTCTCCTCAGCAACAGTAGAAGCCCTGTGACTCACTAAGCTGCCAGCACTCTCCAATCTTCTGGTGAGGTTGAGGTTTTTCTGCAGGAAACACAGTTAAGGAAAAGATTGCTCTTAGTATTCTAAAATATTGAAATACTCTCCCAAGATCTTCCAGAGTCTGCATCAATCTACTTCAAAACTATACAACGACCATCACCTTCAGAAAAATGCGTGTGATGGGGAGGGGGTCTTCCACACTACTTGCTGAGCAGAAAATCAGAAATTGTTCACATACCAATCTTAAAACGGAGAGAGTGTAACAAGTGCAGCTAGCAAGTACACTCTACTTTCTTCACAAGGTCTACAGTCAGGCCAGGGTTTAAGAGCTCAACCAACACAGTAAGAAGAAAAATTGTATCTGGCTAAATTCAACAGCACATTTTTTTTGTTTCTCAATTTCCAGCTTTAATTTATTTGTACTTTATGGTACTAATTCCACTTACTTAGGGAACTGTGAATGTTAAATAGAGAAAAGTGAAGAAGTGGGTCAGATATTAATATAAAATAAAGCAAAATGTCCAAATACTTACATGTATATTAAAATTAAAGATTTTTCAATATACAAAAGAAAAGTTTCCTATCAGGACACAAGAATACATTAGAACAGTAACATTTGAAGCTGGGGAAAAAGGTAGTTCCAGGACTCAGTAGGCAGAGCAGGAATATCATGGACTCTAAGGTCAGCCTGGAAACTATACCTGGTCTACTTGGAAGACCCTGTCCTGGATGGATAGATGGATGGATGGAGTAATGTCTAAATTAATCAGAACTCTGATCTGGCTTGGTACATTTTCTATTAAATGAATTCAATATAATAATGGTCTGTGTAAGCCTAAAATCATCTCTCACTTCCTATTCAGTCTTTCTTGACCCTCAAAAATCTGAAAAGTCAACATGTTCTTCCACAGGTGAGATGTTAATTTCAAACGACTCTGGCACTAATGGTGAAAGCTCTATAGCACATGGGAAATCTACTCTGTAGCAGAAATTGAAAGTATTAGACTAAGCCTAACCTGCATTCAGTTTCTGATTCCTTCATTTGAACAGCGAGGAGAGTGAAGTATGATGCTAAGAAAACCATGCTTTCTCCCCCCCTTTAAAAAAAAAAAGAAGGAGCCAGGGGTTGGTGGCACATGCCTTTAATCCCAGCACTCAGGAGGCAGAGGCAGGCGGATCTCTGTGAGTTCGAGGCCAGCCTGGTCTACAAAGCGAGTTCCAGGACCAAAAAGAAGAAGAAGAAGAAAGAAGAAAGAAGAAAGAAGAAAGAAGAAGAAGAAGAAGAAGAAGAAGAAGAAGAAGAAGAAGAAGAAGAAGAAGAAGAAGAAGAAGAAGGAAGAAGGAAGAAGGAAGAAGGAAGAAGGAAGAAGAAGAAGAAGAAGAAGAAGAAGAAGAAGAAGAAGAAGAAGAAGAAGAAGAAGAAGAAGAAGAAGAAGGAAGGAGGGAGGGAGGGAGGGAGGTATTAACAATGACCTCAAAAGAATGTAAGAAGTAGTAAGAATTGTGTTTCATGGATGACATACATAACATTCAAGAGTTTCTTCTACTATATATTCCCAAAGCGTTATAAGCAACAAATGTCTGTACTGTATATGAAATTTCAGTCCCCAATTACAACCAGTGTAATTAACTTTTGTTACTTAATCTACAAAAATATTCTCAATTTCAAATAACTAACTACAACCAGAATCTCTCACTAGGCAACACATCAAGAAGAGACTGAGTGGTTATATGAACAGACTATTTTGTACATGGACAGAATTAGTAAGTGAAAATTCACCCCTAGAGTCAACAGGTATTTCTCCACCTAGGTACAGGGGCCTTTGCACTGACTCTTGGACATCTCAGTTCATCTGCAGAGTCATATTCATAGTGTGTGCTTTGCTGTCATGAGGATATCCAAGTCCCTGAGGATGGCTCACTCCAACCTCTCTGCTTTGTACAACCATATACCTCCACCCAGAATAACCAATCACCCATTCCCTTCTTCATCCCATCTTCTGTCCTCTTACTCTGTCCTTTAATTTTATCCAAAAGCACTTCTCAAGAAATGGCAGCAAGATTTCTGTACCCTGTAAAAACTACCAAGAATAATTCTATGTAAAAGTGAGAAGAGCATGCAATGCTAACCATCAGAATGAAATTAGGCAGCATGGCAAAGCCACTTTGCTACCAAAAGCAGAAGAGAAAAGGTATATATTCATGTCTGTTAAATGCATGAATACAGTTATAGGCCACATCAGAGTAAATAATGGAAATGCACATGTTGGCTGGCCCATAAGACTACAGTAGAGCCAGGTGGTGGCACACACCTTTAATCCCAGCACTTGGGGGGCAGAGGCAGGTGGATCTCTGTGAGTTTGAGACCAGTCTGGTCTACAAGAGCTAGTTCAGGACAACCTCCAAAGCCATAGAGAAACCCTGTCTCAAAAAAACAAAACAAAACAAAACAAAACAAAAAAAGAGACCACAACAGAACTATTACCTAATGATGTCATAGCATTATTACAATGAATTATTCATGTGTCTTTAATGATGCTGATGTGAACAAAGTTACCACACAATATCATGCAAAACCATTATGCATACAATTATGTGCAGCACAATAATGGAAAGTGTTCCTGGGTCCATACTTAAATTATACTACCATTAAAGTGTAGTCCTGCTTACATGAAAAAAAATTCTCTAAAAAGCATACTTTGTTACAATGGCAGTATCCTCAGATACCTTGGGTTTGTTACATCTTTTGATGGCATCAAATACTGGCAGAAACAAAAAGATTCTTGGGGCTCACTGGCCAGGGAGTCTAGTCTAATGAGTGAGCTCTGAAGCAATGAGAAACCCTGTCTCAAAGGACCAAGATGGCATCCCTGAAGATAATACCTGAGGTTATCCTTGGCTGGGCACATAAAAAGAAAGCCACGCTGCATGGGCTGACCAACACGATCTAGATTTGTCCAGCAAGCATAACATGCTGCTATCTCCTAGCCATCTATTTCTCAGACTGCCCCCATCACACTGAGGCGTGGCTCCGTCAGACTTACCTGACTTCTAATCCACTTGAAGCTTTCTCTACATCTGCACGTTTCCCATCAACACTGCTCAACAGCCACACTGCAGCAGTTTTAGTCAGCAAACTGAAGTGTGCCTCAACACTCATCAGCAATACTTTTGTATCTCTCACCTGAGCTTGATCAATCCCAAAGCAACTTCAAACCATAACCCCTACCTCCAATTACAGATGACCTCTCACCCAAACCATGACTGAGAACATGTGCACATGCACATGTAGACATATATGCATACTCACATGTGCTCGTGCACGTGCATACACTCCACACTCTATATACACATACATACATACATACATACATACATACATACATACATGTAGGACAACCTAAGGTATTATTTCTCAGATGTGGTTCACCTTGCTTTTGGAAACAGGGTCTTTCATTGGACTGGAACTTACCAAGTAGACTAGACAGAATGGCCAGTGAGTCTCAGAAATCTACCTGTCTCCACCTCCTAGTGTTAGGATTACAAATGTGCACCATCACACCATGCCTGACTCTCAGGTTCTGGATATCAAACTCAGGTATTCATGTTTGCAAGGCAGGCAAGCATTACTAACTAAGCTATACCCCCAGCCCCCATCATTCTTAAAACAATGTTTGACAGATTGGAGAGATAGTTTGGCAGTTAAGAACTGGTAGCTTTTCCAGAGGACCCAGGTTGCACTCCAGCACCCACATGGTGGCTCACAACATTCAGGAGATCCTACCCTCTTCTGACTTCCTTAGACACAGCATGCACATAGTGCAAACATGCATCCAGCAAAACATCAATATATATAAGAGATTTTTAAAGCACTCCTCCTAACACAATACCGAACACTACCCTGTCAGTTTTGTGCTCACTGCCTCTTCATTACTAGTTACACACACACACACACACACCAGCATAATCACTAAATTCTATAACTCTTAAAGCCCACACAGTTTGCTTACTTTGTTTCCTTCTTAAATCCACCTAGGCACATGGTTTCAACAGTATCCACGTAACAACTCATGATTTTTACTTTGTTTCCTTCTTAAATACACCTAGGCACATGGTTTCAACAGCATCCATGTAATAACTCATGATTTTTTTCTCTGATTCTGAATTATTTTCTGGCTACAAACTCATATTCAGCTGCCTACTTGGGTGTCTTAAGTACCAGGATAAAGTTGAGCCTCATTGCTCAGAGGGAAAAAATTTAGTGTTAAATCATCCACTCAAAGAATGTATTGTCTTTACAAAAGGGACCAAAAATTTGACTTTTTATAAACACGTTTCCAAGACTGTAGTAGCTAAGAATCAAAACTCTACACAAAGTTCACAGTCTACATTAACCAGCTAGTCAGCTGTCTGCAGTAAAATGACTTCACTCTTCCAGGAAACTCCTGACAGAAAGATAAGAGTTTCAAATAACTTCATTGTTCATTTCAGGAACTTCCCAAAAAACTCATATAAACCAACATCAGACTATTCAATTTTTAATAAATAGCAGTAAATGACTGTTCACTTTCCAACTGTTTGACTATCTTACCAAAAAAGGTTTGCCTTGCCCTTTAATTTTATCATGATCCTTATGCTACTTCCAAGCAAGCCTCGAACTGAAATCCTTATTGCAACCAGCCTCCAAATAGTCAATACTCCAATTATGCTGTCCCTTCCAAAGGGTTCACCCGCACCAGCACCGCCCCACCATCGTATCACCCAATCCACCCCACCCACAGAGTCCCTTCCAATCCCTTCACTCTCACCACCATCACCCCCATCATCCCATCACCAGCCCCGCCCCACCCACACACACTCCCAGCTCTGTAAAGATGGCACGCCTTTGCTGCTATAAGTAATAAACTCAAGCTTATTTTTGGTAACACTTTCCAGGAACAAACATTCTACGGCACTACTGGACAACTTCCCAAATGTCTATTAAACATTCAGTTCAGCAACACCAGATTCATTACAAGCCCTGCTGGAAAATATAAATACCT